CCAGCCTGGTCTACAAAGTGAGTTCCAGGACAGCCTCCAAAGCTACAGAGAAACCCTGTCTCGAAAAACCAAAAAAAAAAAAAAAAAAGATTACCTCAGCGGATACAGTTTTGGTCTTCAAAACCCTTGGCATAAGTAACTCATCCTGCCCTCATAACAGTTCGGGGATGGGACAGACAAGGAACAGGGGGGGGGGTCCAAGAATTTCTCCAACTCAGCCAGTAAGTAGTGGGCTCAGATTCTGGCCTCTTACAATATACCGTCAGAGTTCATGCTTGCAACCACTGTTCTATATGGATTAGAGAAAGCCCCGTACCTGGGGTGTTAGGCGGTTTGCCCAGGCACGTGACTGGTTGCTGTGGGAGGGGAACTAGAATTCACTACTATCAGCCCCAATTTGTTGCTATTTTAATGGTTCTTGATTTTTTTTTTAATATGAGTCTGTGTATCTGTATGCGGGGTGCACGCATGCCATGGTATGTCAGAGGCCAACTTTTGGGAGTTGGTTCTCATGTCCCATCGCATGGGTCTCAGGGACTGAGCTCAAATCATCACGTTTGGCACCAGGTGCCTTGACCATTCAGCCCTACCACCAGCCCCCCTGCGACTGCTGCTTTAGCCTTCCCTATTAACATTAAACACAACAGTCAAGAGGTGTTCCAGTGCGTACCTGTACCTGAGCTTTTCTCAGAAAGGCGGGCGGGCCTTGGCTCCACTTGGCTGTGGGGAATACATTGAGCTGTACCTCGGAAGGCCCTCGCTGATCGCCAGCCTCCCTGACCAGAGCAGTGTGAGAACAGCTGTTGTTAACCAGCATCAGAAGCAGGGAATCCTCAGACCAGCGGGTTAGAGCCTGGCGTTTCAGTCAACTTGTCTGCCTCTGAAATGCACCAAGTCTGTTTGTAAAGGTTTGCAGGAGCATGCTGGCTAGGCAGAAAGGGTCTCTAAGCCTGGCCCCCAGGCTTACCCCGAGCCCTTCTGAGAAGCAGGACCGTTGGGTAGACTATGACAGAATGCTAACATACTGAAATAACCCAATACAGACGTGCGCTATAGCAGGTAACAGTCTAGACCAGCAGACACCACAGTTTTAGGAAACAGTGGGGAAAACTTACAATGTAGAACATCCTCTTCCTTTTCCTCTGAACTGGAAGCATCGGTTATTATTCCGTATGCACAGGAGAAGCCTGTGACCCAGGACCACGGGGTCCTGCCAAGCCTTGTAAGAGAAGGGAAGGGTTAACCCTGACAAAGAGAAGGAGGAGGAGCAGGTGGTCAGGATACACTGTATCTAATACACCAGGTCCAGCCGAGCCTCCCTGATCTTCTTGGGTTTTATAATGTGAGAGGGAGTTACTCTCTACCTCTAATTTTCTGAACGAGGAAACTCCTGCTTGGAGAATATATTATATGCAAATGCAAGCTCCATACAGCTAAAAGTGTACCTGGATAACACTAAGTACACAGTGTTGAAAACATGATAGTGTATCACAGATATGCTTGGTTTTCTGTGCCTCCCCTGATTTATTCAGGTACCAGCCAAGCTTCAGCACTATAATCAGCCATTTTCTATCACTTCTGGCTGGAAGCTAAGGTTTCCGCACATTTTATCTTTCGAAAGTACAACAGATATAGGCGCCAGGGCTATAGCTCAGTGGTAGCGCACTGCCCAGCATGCAGTAGGCCTTGCATTCCGTTCCAGTCTTGCAAGAAGAGGACGAGGAGGAGTAGGGAGGAGGAAATATAAAATTCACCCACGTTCATTCAACCCAGCAGACACATTAGGTTCATTTCACCACCCCTAACCATGACCGGTCAAAGGCTCAGTGCTTCCTTTAGTGGCCAGAACTGGGGCAGGTCTTGGCTCCAAGTCAGTTCCACAGTCAGTATTCATGGGAACAGAGTGATTGGCTGTCAGCTTTAAATGAAAGTGAACATCTTTTCCTTGTCCACCTAGATGTGCCCCGACTCATGCAAGTGAAAAACATTTGTCTGCCTACTGTGTGCTTGGCACTATATATGTATTTTTTTAGGTTTTGGTTTGTTTTTGTTTTAAATGTTTATTTATTATGCATACAGTGTTCTGCCAGAAGAGGGAACCAGTTCTCATTATAGATGGTTGTGAGATACCATGTGGTTGCTAGGAATTGAACTCAGGACCCCTGGAAGAGCAGCCAGTGCTCTTAACCTCTGAGTCATCTCTCCAGCCCCCATTGTTTCTGTTTTTTCAAGACAGGGTTTTTCTGTATAGCCCTGGCCATCCTGGAACTCAATCTGTAGGCCAGTCTGGGCTTGAACTCACAGAGCTCTGCCTCCCTCTGCCTCCGAAGTGCTGGGATTAAAGGCGTGCACCACCACCGCCTGACTCTTGGCTCTGTTCTATTAATAGGTGCTGGGGCAGTAATTGAACTAAGTACACAAGGTCACTATTGTTGTGGAGTTTCTCTTCTGGGAGCAAATGAGACCTGGGCATACTGACAAGCTCCTGTAATTCCAGGACACCGGAGACTGAGGCAAACGGATGGGAAGCTGAAAAAACAGCCTGGATTGTGTAGCAAGATGGTCAAAAACCATGAAAGGGGTCTGGAGAATAGCTCAGTGGTTTCAAGTGTAGACTGTGTGTCCTAATCTTGCAGAGGACTTGCATTCAGATCTCAGCACTCATATCGAAAGGCTCAACCACCTGTAACTCCAGGTCCGGGGGATCTGAAGCCTTTGACCTCCGGGAGCACCCGCATTTATATGCACCCCCCCCCAGGCATACACATAATCAGAAATAAAATCTTAAAAGTAAACAAAAATAATAGACAAGGAGACACGATAAACACTAGGATCACCTTTAAATGAGGAATGGACTTGATGGAGTGGCTGGAGAAGAAACCTATGTTGCATTGTCAAGAGCTGTCTCTGGGAGGAAGTGACATTTACAATGGCAACCTAAATGACAAGGAGTCCTCCAATCAGAGCATCTGAGTAAAGAGCATTCCAAGCAGAAGGAACAGTTAATGCAACAGCCCTCTGGCAAAAGCCAGCTCACTGGGCTCTAGACAGACTAAGAAAGCCAATGAGGCTGAAGAAGTAGGAGATGAGGTCAGAGGCAGGCATGCCCCGGCCGGTGCAGAAGCCCACAGGCCGGGGAAGGAGTTTGGATTTCATTCAGAGTGTAACGAGAAGCCTTTCGAAGGTGTTAAGCTTGGAAGTAGCACATTCTGATTTATGGTTTTAAAAGATCACTCTGCCTGCTGGGTGAAGAATGAGCTGTAGGATGAAGGGATTGGAGGTGAACCACTTAGGAAGCTATTACAGTGGTCCAGCAGGAAGAACCGTGGCTTAGGCTAGGACAGCAGTAGTGACTGTGAGAAAGTACAAGGACTCAAGCACTGTGGCACTGGAGCACCCTATACCTGCTGTGGTTCCTTTGGTAGCATTTATTCGTGTCAAATAATTATCAACAAGCTAATACTTGTCAGGCACCTCCTCGGTGCCAAGCGCCGTACTGAGAACTGACACGCCAGTCCCGTAGGAGAAGCTCCTTCCGCCCAAGGGCTGGGGGAGTGTGCCTCACCCTGCTATCTTTGCCCTGCACTCCAGTGCTAAACTGGGTTGGATGGGCACAGGTGGGAAGTGGGATGTTTACAGTTGGAAAATTGATGCCATAAAAAAGAAGAGCTCAAAGTCCTCTCAGAGCAAAGACCGGGAGAAGCCGAGCTCCCACAGTTAGGAGAGCATGTAGCCAGTGCCAAGAGAACACGGAAGCCCTTTTCTGCTCACACTGCTGTTTATCTTCTCTGAGTTCCCACGGTCTGACAGAGCCCCACTCAATCCAGATTTTCTCCACCTTCAGTACTGGTTTTTGCTTCCCCCACCACACCCCACGCTCATGCCTTTGGTAAATTTGTTAGTCTCTTGTGCCCTCTGGTGGCATATTGTGGGTACTGCTGCCTGCTGCTGTCCCAGTTAATTTGAAGGCCTGGAGGGGAATCTGACAGAGCTGGAATGCCTTTGTACTAGGGCATAGGACTACATTAGTTTCCTAGAAATGAAGGCAGAATCTAGCTCCCCATCTACTCAGTACACGATGTCAGAACCACCTTTTGTTTATGAGTTGAATAAACCATTTTGAGCACTTGCCAGTGAGTCTCAGCCAGTCATTACATGTTCAGAGCCGAGCTCTGATATTTGGATGTGCCACCCAGAGCTTTGACGACATCAAGTAAGGCAATTGGAATCCACTGTGTCCCTGGTCACAGGATCGGAGACCCACTCTCTCATCATTCTGTTGCTGCTTGGTTTTCAACCCTGACACTCTGGCTTTTCCAAGTGCCGATTAATTGTCTCACTATCATCCTGGCAAATGTCTCCCAAACCCTACTAGTTAGAATCTGATTCTATTTTTGCAGCCAAGAAGATGCCTGGGATGTTGGACAATTAGGCAAGACTCTCTGAGTCTTCAAAGAAGGAGCTCACCCAGGTGTTGGTGGTGCATGCCTTTAATCCCAGCATTGGGGAGGCAGAGGCAGGAGGATCTCTGTGAGTTCGAGACCATCATGGTCTACAAGAGTGAGTTCCAGGACAGGTTCCAAAGCCACAGAGAAACTCTGTCTCGGGGGGGGGGAGGAACTCTATGACCTCAGTGTGCAAGGCTGTTAAATGAGTCTGGGCATTATGTATTGCTGTGCACGGAATCATCACAAATTTAGTATATTAAAACACATGTTTCTAATTAAATGGTTCTGCCCACCAGAAGATGGAGGATGACTTACCAGGATGCTCTGCCTTAGGATAACAAAATTACAAGCAGAGGGCCAGTTTTGATGGCTGATAGGATTTAGTGCTGTGGAATATTGTTTTAACTGGGCAAAGATGTGTTATATTTGTTTATGCTGCAGAATATTACTTTAACTGTGTAAAGGTGTGTTTCCTTTGTTTCTGCTGTGGGATATAATTAATATTTTTATTTATTATGTATACAGTGTTCTGCCTGCATGTATTCCTGCAGGCCAGAAGAGGGCGCCAGATCTCACTACAGACAGTGGTCCTGTTTCACCTCACCTGCCTAAGGCACCTGATTGGTCTAATAAGGAGCTGGACAGCCATCTTCCTAGCTTTATCACCAGATGAGGTCAGCAATTTGTTTTTTTGGGGGTTTTTTTGGTTTTTTTTGGGGGGGGGAGGAACCACCAACCAGCTCCCAAATCATGACACAGAGACGTATAATTAGTTATGAATGCTCACCTGGAGCTGCAGGTACAGGCTGTTGTGAGCTGCCCTAATGGGTGCTGGGGCCTGAACTTGGGTCCTCTGGAGGAGCAACAAGCACTCAGCTGCTGAGCCCAGGATTTGTCAGCCGGCTGCATGAATTTTCATGCAGGGCTTCCCAACATGGCAGCAAGGGAAACCTTCTGGCAAAACAGGAAGTACAACCTTGTAGACCAACCAAAAAGCCACCATGACTTTTCCTGCCTGCAGCAAGTCACTAGGCCAGCCTTGCTAAGGGGAAGATCATTACACAAGGGTATGAAACCAGCATGTGAGGGGCGGTACAGCCATCTTGGTCTGCTTGCCACAGTGAAAGGACTGTGGTCACTGGTCAGACCCTGTTCAAACTGCTATTTCCCAGATGAGTATGTTGGCGCGTCTGCAATCCTGGTACTCAGGAAGCTAAGCCAGGAGGATCACTGTGGGGTGGACGGCAGCCTAGACGGCTTAAAAGACCCTATGTAAGAGGGAGGAGGAGGAGGAGGAAAGACGGGATACCTCATTTCCTCCCTGAAGTCCTTGAAGCTTAAGTCCTTCCCAAATCTAAAACTGTTGCAGTAAGTATTCTTTGACTTATAAAAGGAAGTGTTTCATTGGGGACTTGCTTATGGTTTCAGAGGGTGAGTCCATGATATTCTTTTCTTTTTTTTTTTCTTTTTTGGTTTTTTGAGACAGGGTTTCTCTGTGGCTTTGGAGGCTGTCCTGGAACTCGCTCTGTAGATCAGGATGGCCTCGAACTCACAGAGATCCACCTGCCTCTGCCTCCCGAGTGCTGGGATTAAAGGCGTTCGCCACCAACGCCCGGCGTCCATGATATTCTTGACAGGGAGCAGACAGGCATGGCAAGGGAGCAGTAGTTGAGAACATTCTGATCCAAAGAAAGGTGGGGGGAGGGGGACCTGGGCCTGGCATGGCCTTTTGAAACCTCAGAGCCCACCCCCAGTGACATATCTCCTCCAACAAGGCCACACCTCCTTCTCACTCAAACCAGCACAAAATCCATCTGTTATTATGCTGGGGACAGTACCCAAGGCCATGTGCATGGCAGGCAAGCAAATGATAAGTATCTACCACCGGGACACACATCAAGCCTTGAAGATGATCACTTTGGAAACTAGCCCATAGCTGGATATGATGGCGCTTGCTTATAGCAGTCTAGCAACTCAGGAGACTGAGGCAGAAGGATTGATCTTATTTTTTTAAAAAAGCTAATAAAAGAAAGGGAGGGAGGGAAAGAAGGAGAGGAAATATTGCCGAAACACTTGGTGGTAGAATGCCACATCCCTGCACTTTTCTTTAAAATGCTTAGAGCCGTGAGCAGACTATAGTCCCTTTTGTTTCCCAATCTCCCTGACTAAGTCACTGCTTTGGGAAAAGTTAACATAGCTTTTTATCAAAAGTGATCCAAGACGCAAGCATTATATGCCAGAGGCAAGAAAGAGTGAGAGGATTGTTATTTAAAAGGCCTAAACTGCAGGCTGGAGGGATGGCTCAGAGCTGAAGAGCACTGGCTTTAACTCCCAGCAGCCACATGATGGCTCACAACCATCTGTAACGAGATCTGGTGCCCTTTTCTTGCCTTCAGGTAAAATGCAGGCAGGACACTGTATACAAATAAATAAATAAATATTTCTAAAAAATCAAGTAAAAGGCCCAAATCCCACTGTACAAGCTCCAGGTCTGGGCCAGGATCTGAACACAGACACCAGAAGCCAGATGTCCCCCTGTTCCCATCCAGCATGGCTTAGAGATGTTAGGGGCCAGACACTCAAGACAGGATGCTATTTTCAGTTGCTTTTGACCCAGATGGATCTCAGCCTTTACTTTAGGACAAGAGTTCCTAGGGAGGGCTGGAGACTGAGAGGACACTTTTTGGCTTGGCTAAGACAGAACAGAAGGTTGCTACCTCCTGAGAGAGGAATCTTCTAGAGGTGGATTTGTCTGGTGGCTTTTTGGCCACGGGAAAAACTCAGAACAGTGGCTGCCTTTCCAAAGGCTCCAGAGATCCCACCATTCTTCCTGGCAGCTCTCTTCATTTCATTCTTCCTGGCAGCCCTCTTCATTTCTCTCCTTCTGGGAGTAACACCTTGATTGAGAGAAATGCCGTGGGAGAGGCCTTGACCAAAAAAACTAAATTCAACAGCACCAAAGCTGGACAAACTGAAATCATATGACCTCAGAGGGACTGAGTAGGAAAGACACGATGTCACCAAGGTGATATTTGTACCAGAAATGCTCAGCCTGAATCCAATCATGGGCAAACAGATGGGGGGAAGGGCACTTCTAAGGCAGCGGACCGCACTCCAAAAATACCAGTGCTGGGGAAGAAAAAAAAGATGAGGATTAGTAGTTTTAATGAAAGTAGAAGGACCTAACTAAATTATTACATAACACTTGATCTGGTCCCAGGTTTGTTTGTTTGTTTATTATATATTTATTTTGGTTTTTCTTTCTTTTTTTCTTTTTTTTTTTTTTTTTTTGGTTTTTCGAGACAGGGTTTCTCTGTATTGTTTTTGGAGACTGTCTTGGAACTAGCTCTGTAGACCAGGCTGGCCTCAAACTCAGAGATCCGCCTGCCTCTGCCTCCCTGGTGCTGGGATTAAAGGCGTGCGCCACCAACACCTGGCTTTTATTTTGGCTTTTCAAGACAGGATTTCTCTGTATTGTTTTGGAGGCTGTCCTAGAACTCGCTCTGTAGACCAGGCTGGCCTCGAACTCACAGAGATCCATCTGCCTCTGCCTCCTGAGTGCTGGGATTAAAGGGGCCACCAACGCCCGGCAGGTTTATTTAATTGTTTTGTGTGAATTAGTGTTTTTATCTGAATGTGCGTCTCTGTACCATGTGCATGTCTGTTGTCTTTCTGGGCCTCTCTCTCTGGAACTAGAGTTCCTGACAGTTGTGAGCCACCATGTGGTTGCTGGGAACTGAGTCAGGTCTGTCTGCTTAGGAGACTGAGGCAGGAAGACCACAAGGCAAAAGATAGCTTGGGCTACTTGCTGAGACTGTCTCAAAACAAATTTAAAGTTTAAAAAGAGAAAAGGAATGGCCATAGTGCTGAATAAAAGCTTTCCTAGAAACGTGTGAGGCTCTGAATTCAAGCCAGGTAAGGTAAGGCAGAGTATGGTAGGGTAGAGAACGGGAGAAGGGGAAGGGGGGGGGGACGGGAGGTGCAGTGACTTTAGGGAACTCAGTTGGTGTCTGCTCTCACACTCTCAGGTGGCTCTGCAGAGGTGCATATCTGAAAGCGTCAGCAAATGAGAGAACTCTGAGAGCCAGTCTGTCTAGACAAGATGTGTGTACTGTCACTGTATCTTTCTGGCCATTTCTCTGTTGGTTTAGAAATTATCAAGATGGAAAATGCCAAGTTTCCAAGATTGGGTACCAGCATTTTTTTTTTTCAAAGATGTATTTATTTATTACATATACATGTGTCTCTGCAGGCCAGAAGAGGACACCAGATTGAATTGTGATGGTTGTGAATCACCATGTGGTTGCTGGGAACTGAACTCAGGACCTCTGGAAGAACAGTCAGTGCTCTTAACCTCTGAGCCATCTCTCCAGCCCCGGGGTACCAGCATTTAAACACTTCAGGTGAGGAAATAACAGAGTACCATGGTAGCCAGGCGGTGGTGGCTCACACCTTTAATCCCAGCACTCAGGAGGCAGAGGCAGTGGGATCTCTGTGAGTTCGAGGCCAGCCTGATCTACAGAGCGAGTGTCAGGATAGACTCCAAAGCAATACAGAGAAACCCTGTCTCCAAAAACCGAAAAACAAAAACAAAACAAAAAACCAGAGTACCATGGTCTCTCTAAATTTCCTTCTTCCCGTAGAAGTACAATTGAAGTGTAGGTGAAATCCATGAACCGGGTACCAACAAACCAGGGTCACCTAACAGTTATTTACTTAGAAATGATCCCATATTTGATATACCCCCACATCAATTTGTTATGGAAATTGTCGCAATTTTGTTTGCTTTTTTATTACAATTGAAGAGTCATTTTTTTTTTGGTTTTTTTTTTTTTTTTTTGGTTTGGGTTTGTTTGTTTTGAGCCAGGGTCAAATCAGGCTATGCTCAGACTGGCCATGTCTGATGATCTGGAACAGTCCTCCACCTCCAGAGAGCTGGAGTGGTAGACCTCAGTACAGCCCAGCAGGGACAGCTGAATTGGTTTTCACTGCATGCGCTCATCAGAATAATTCTAGTGCTCACTGCATATGTGAGTCCTAAGTGTCCCCACATCACCCCCACGCGAATAGACAGGAGGCAGGAGGCGCTGGGGGTCCAGGGAACCAGGAAGCCACACAAGGGGACTGGGGACTGCAAAACTGTGGAGAAACCCTTTGGAACTGGTAACAGGATGGGGCTCCCAGACAACCTACACATCAACGTCCTCTGAGTTGGCTTGTACCGTTGTTCATTTGTTTTAGGCTGGAATTTGTCTGTTTGTTTAGTGCAAGGGGTTAAATACCTCAAGCCAAGTGAGAGTTCATGAATTTCATTGTTTACTTTCATTCTGAACTTGATGTTAGGTAAAGTTACTTAGTTGTTTATTTCCTGTGTGTTGCAGAAGACATTCTGGACACAAAACAATGGAGCTGGGTGGGGGAAGGGATGAGTGGGTTTCTAGTGGAACTGCTTGTGTGATGTAGTGATGTTGGGTGTACATAGTCACAGCCTGCACACACGCAGCCTACACTGAGAGTGAGCTTGGACACAAACACAGACTTCCCGGTAGGCGAGATCTATCACTGAGTTGCTGGGACTTGGGGAGGTTGTGCACGAGCCACAGGAGTACAGGAAGTCTGCTCTGCTTAGTGTTGCTGTGAAGGTTGTTGAATTTTGAGTGTTTTTTTTTAAATATGTATGTGTGTGTTCATATATATATATATATACATGTGTGTGCGTGTACCCATGGAGGTAAGAAGAAGACATCAGATCTTGTGAAGCCGGCGTTGGGAGCTGCTGGGAGCAGTTGCCTTACATGGATGCTGCCAATGGAACCTGGGTCCTCTTCAAGTGCAGCAAGGGTTCCTAACAACTGAGCCATCTCTCCAGCCCCTTTTTTGCTCTGAACTGTAAATTGCTCAGAATAAAATGTTGGCTTTCTGTTTCGTTTTCTTTTGGTGTTTGTTTTGTTTATGTTAGTGTGAGAAGGGTAACTAAGTGATAGATTCCAAGCAGGGAGCAGAGGGAAGCCTGAGGCTGTCAAGTCCTGGGGAAGATGGAGGTGAGCTTTGCCTTCACAGCATTGTTGGTCACGCTGGTTTTGTTCTTCAGTGCTGGGGGGGGGGTTGAACTCAGGGCCTCGGCCAAGTGCTAGGCAAGCACTATGGTACCGGACAACACCCTGGCACTGCAGGGATGTTTTAAAGGTGAATAATAATACATGAAAGCGCCTCTCCCATTTCTTGTGTCTTCTCACGCTGGGCAGCTGGAACAACAGCCACGGGTCCGGGTCCTTTAGGCGTCTCTGCAAGGGTCCCCTCTATAGCAACAACCTCTTTCTAAGGAGTATAATGCAGCTAAAGATCAACTACCCCTTTTCAAAATTAGATTACAAAAAGCTTGGGGGCGTGGGGCTGGAGAGATGGCTCAGAGGTTAAAAGCACTGGCTGTTCTTCCAGAGATCCTGGGTTCAATTCTCAGCAGCCACATGGTAGCTCACAACCATCTGTAATGAGATCTGGTGTCCTCTTTTGGCCTTCAGGGACACATACAGGCAGAACACTACATACATAATAAATAAATCTTAAAGAAAAAAAAAGCTTGTGGCTTCTACTTCCCCTTCACCCCACCCCCAGTAGTAAGCTGCCATGTTATAGTGGAACTACAGAGAGATTCCAATAGCAAGGAACAAATATACCCAGCCAACAGGCTACCAGGACCTGAGGAAGGCTTGTCAACAGCAGAAAAGCCTGTCCACCATGTGCAAGGATTGGGCCCCCAGAGGGAATTTATCAGTATTTGTAAAAGATAGTTTAGAGTGAATTAGGTATTGACTAAGAATAGATGAGATAAAAATTAACAAAGTGTAAAGGTAAAAATTTCTGAATGAAAAAAAAAAAGACAGCTAGGCATGGTAGTACATGCCTTTGATTCCAGAACTCAGGAAACAGAGGCAAGCAGATCTCTGTGAGTTCAAAGCCAGCCTGTCTACAGAGTGAGTTCTGGTACAGTGCTGTTACACAGAGAAACCCTGTCTCAATCCTCCCTCCCATCCCCGGAAAAGGCAAATTCCAAACAGCATTTTCATTACAATCTCATTTTTCTAAAAAACAAAAGCATTAGTGCTTTTGTGCATGAAAAGAGATAAATTTTATTCCATTTCTAGCTATATAACCAAGAGAAACATATTCACAGGATTACCAAAGACATATTCAGAATGTCCATAGAAATTTTATTTACTATAGACCTTACTGGAATCATCCCTAGCAGAAGAATGGATAGATTAAATTATGGAATAGTCTAAAAATAGTCTACTGCAAAGAGTGGACCACTCCAAGATACTGATGAGGACCAATCTCAGAAATACAAGGCCAAAGGGGATGCAGAGAAGATTCAGCAGACAGGAGTGCTTGCTGCTCTTGTAGAGGACCCACGTTCAGTGCCCAGAAACCATTGGGGGGCTCACAACCTGTAACTCCAGCTCCAGGAGATCCAACACCCTCTGCTGACCTCTGCAGACATCTGGACACATACAGCATGCACACATGTACCTATAAACAAAGAAATTAAACTTTAAATTTAACGCCATACATCCTGAGGGGATGGATGCTGCTAAGTGGGAAGGGCAGAAGGAAGCTTTTAGTGTGAGGTTAATGCCTAAATATTGACTTGGTTAAGGCTACACAGGATTAGATTCATATACATAAATGCAAAAAGGCTACCAAATTGTGTGTTTGACATTTGTAGTTTATGCAATTCAATTATATCTCTTTTCATTCAATTTTCTTCTTTCTCTCTTTTTTTGTTTGTTTTTTGAGACAGAGTTTCACAGTGTAGCCCTGGCTGTCCTGGAACTCACTCTGTAGACCAGGCTGGCCTCGAACTCACAGAGATCTGCCTGCCTCTGCCTCCCAAGTGCTGGGATTAAAGGCATGCACCACCATGGATTTACTTAAAACAAAAGCGAAGTCCAGAGGCTGGAGGTGTGGGTGTCAGAGGCAGAGAGTTTGTTCTGCAACACTGCAAGAAGAGACAAAGAACCTGGCCAGACCGGAAGTGTTAGCAGCAGTCATTTCTAGGTGGTGGGAGTAACATGTTTTGATTTGTTTTAGTCCTAATCTATATTTTCTTTGAGGTGGGGTGTGAAACAGGACTCCGCTCTCTAGGCCAGGCTGACTGAAACCCATTATTGAACCCAGGCCAGCCTTGGACTTTTTTTTTGTTTGTTTTTTTTCGAGACAGGGTTTCTCTATATTGTTTTAGAGCAGCCTTGGACTTGAAGGTAGTCACTTACCTGCTCCTGTTGTCCGGACTGCAGCTGTAAACTACCCCACCCGCTTCTGATCTTCATTTTCCTTTTTTTTTTTTTTTGCAACATATAGGCAACACTTGTATAATAATCAAAGGTTATTTTGAGAACTACATTCCAGATATTTGATTCATGCTGCCTCAGGGGGGAAGTCAAGAAACCTTACTTGCACCATTCCCGAAGGAGAGCGGGGTGTGGCCTCGCATAATAGGAATGAAGGGCTAATGGCCTTGGCATCTGGGGGGGGGGGGGGAGGGGACTGTTGGGGTAAGTCCCGAATGCTGAGCGAGTGAGAGGAAAGTCCCAGTGGACCGAGGCATCCGGCCATGCGCAGTAATGGAAAGTAGCCGGGAGTTGGAACTGAAAGATCTGGGTCCGAATCCAGATCCAACTGTTGGTTAGCTGTGGCTTTTAAAAGTCATTTACTCTCAGAAGTCCCTCCGTGGCGGCTTAGTCCCAGCTCTGCCCCTCCGGTTTCGGGAATTCCTCCCGGTCCTTGCTCGAGAAGACCGGTTCACACTTGGTGAACCTCGACCACTCTTGTCCAGTTCTCACAGAGCTTTGAGACAAACGGATGCTGCTCTTTCCCGTGTTTTCTCTGGTGTGGCTTGTTTCTTGATCGGCCTTGAGACAGACAGGGTCTCACTGTGTGGCCGAGGTTGCCCTCACTCTCCAACCTCTTGACTGGGCTTTCAAAATGTGGGAATTACAGGCATGCACCACTGTGCCCAGTTTTGTTCTTGACCCTTAATTTTTTTGTTTCCAATGTTAACTTTATGTGCGTATGTTTTGCCTACATGTATGTCTGTGGGTGCCTGGTGCCCTTGAGGGCCAGAAAAGGGAGCCAGGCCCCTTAGATCTGGACTTACCGATGGTTGAGAGCCACCATGCGGATGCTGAAAATCAAACCCAAGCACTCTGAAAGATGAGTCAGTTCTCTTACCTGCTGAGCTCTCTGGCATCTTTCTCCCTTTTTTATTTTATTTTATTTTATTTTATTTTATTTTATTTTATTTTTGACAGGGTCTCATGTGAACCAGACTGACCTCCAACTTCCTGTACCGTTGGTGATCTTGAACTTCTGATTGTCTGGTCTCCATGTCCTGAGTGCTGGCTTTTAGGCAAGTGCCACCATGCTGCCATTACTTAGGGCTGAGGATTTAACCCAGGGCTTCAGAGTCTTGTGTGCTAGGCAAGCCTTCTTCCAGCTGAGCCACAGACTCAGCCGTCGCCTTTCCCTTACACATTTATTTATTTATTTATTTATTTTTATGTGTGTGTGTGCTTTGCCTGCACATCTGTCTGTGTGTCATGTGCCCACCTGGTTCCCAAGGAGCTCAAAAGAGGGCGTTGGATCCCCCGGAACTGGAGTTACAGACAGTTGTGAGCAGCCATGTGGGTGCTGGGAATGAAACTCAGAACCTCTGGAAGAGCAGCCAGTGCTCTTAACCCCTGAGCCGTCTCTCCAGTCTCTTTTTCCCTTTTTGTATTTCAAGAAAGGGTTTCTCTATGTAGCTCTGACTGTCCTGGAACTCGCTCTGTAGACCAGGCTGGCCTGGAACTCACAGAGATCCGCCTGCCTCTGTCTTCCAAGTGGTAGGATTGAAGGCGTGTGCCACCACCAGTCCCTTCCTTCCATTTTTAAAGAGAAGTTGCTGAGGTGATAAATACTTGCAGGTAGTAACTGGTAGAATTAGGCCCTTCTTCTGGTCTTTATATTCCAAATGCTGCCTTCTTCTCAAGATTTTCTGATGGCCTTTCAGAGCCCCCATATTTAACTGCCCACTTCTACACACACACACACAGAATCTACAGACACATGCACACAGAATCTACAGACACACACAGAATCTACAGACACACACACAGAATCTACGGACACACACTAACACACACATACACACAGAATCTACAGACACACACTAACACACACACATACACAGAATCTACAGACACACACTAACACACACAATCTACAGACACACACTAACACACATACACATACACAGAATTTACACACACACAGAATCTACAGACACACACTAACACACATATACACAGAATTTACACACACACAAAATCTACAGACACACACACACATACACAGAATCTACAGACACACACACACAGAATCTACAGACACACACTAACACACACAGAATCTACAGACACACACACACAGAATCTACAGACACACACAGAATCTACAGACACACACTAACACACACAGAATCTACAGACACACACACAGAATCTACAGACACACACTAACACACACAGAATCTACAGACACACACACACACACACACAATCTTGTGTGTAGGAGTACACTGATGCTGCACCCAGAGCCACCCTCAATGCCATCACTGTGATGTCATCACTGTGCTAATTTCATGTCTTTCAAAAACCCAGACTCCTGGCTCTATAACCCCAGAGGTCTATATGAATCCAAACCTGCAACTTCAGGCAGCCACTAAGTACAGGGCCTTCCATTTCTAGCCCCCAGCCTGATTCAAAGATGACTGCTGGGGATGGAGAGATGGCTTAGCACTGGCTGCTCTTCCAGAGGTCCTGAGTTCAATTCGTGGCTCACAGCCATCTGTAATGAGATCTGGTGCCCTCTTCTGGTGTGCAGACATACATACAGGCCACTGCATACATTTTTAAAAAAAAAGGTGGCTGGGTGGTGGTGGTGCAGTGCCTTTAATCCCAGCACTCGGGAGGCAGAGGCAGGCAGATCTCTGTGAGTTCAAGGCCGAGCTAGACCGACAGCCTCCAAAACAATACAGAGAAACCCTGCCATCCTTTCCAGGCAGACTCTCCCCAAGCCAAACACCCTGACTCCCCCACCCCTATCCACACCCTGCTCTTCCTGACATCCTGCCTCAGGCCTCAAAGTCCCTCACAGCAGTGAGAAGCAGAGTGAGAGGCAATGTTGGGCCCAAGAGGCAGCGGCAGCTCACAGCTCGCACTATAGTCTCCTCAATAATTCATTCTCTAGCAAGCTGCAGGCACCGTGCCCTCATTCTGAACCAGAGATGGCTGTGGCAGCTCGGAGCCTTCTGTGGGGTGGCTGACAGCTGAGGAGAGCTGGGAGAAGAAAGAGTAGAGTGTGCCCAGCCTCCAGGTCTATGCTGCACATGGTGGAACGGGTGGCCATCTGGGCTGATGCCAGGGGGCCAGGGAGACGGTGTTGTTGGGGGGTTGCTAAAGAGGGCCTACACCCGGCTCCCTGAGTGCATGTGCCAGGGTCAACACCTGGCCTGGCCGAGCCTCTGCAGGCTGCCTTTCTAGTGGATGCCCAGACCCTCTGGCCCCTGACAGTCTCAGCTGCCCCCACCTCAGGAGTCCTGCTCTGCTGGGACTACTGCCACTTAGACCTGTAACCTTTGTCAACACCCTGCACCTCTTCTTGGGTTTGCCATTCTACCCCCATCTCTCCAACCCCAGCCTCTCTGGCTAACCACTGCTGGTGTTCAAGTACTTGCAGACTGTGGGGGGGGGTGACCTGAACTGACCCCACAGGTGGCAAAGGGATTCAGAATCCTAAATGTTGGGAGTGGTGCCAAGAAATTCTGTACCAAGGAGGGATGGTAGTAAGGTCTAACCCGTGTTAGGGACTTTTCTTTCTTTTCTTTTTTTTTTTTTTTTTTTTTTTTTTTTTTTGTTCAAGACAGGGTTTCTCTGTATTGTTTTGGAGACTGTCGGTCCAGCCTGGCCTCGAACTCACAGAGATCCGCCTGCCTCTGCCTCCCGAGTGCTGGGATTAAAGGCGTGCGCCACCACTGCCCGGCATTAGAGACTTTTCTTTCCCAGGGTCCCCTCTCCTTCACCGGGGACAGCCTGAATTCTACTCATTTGCTAGTCCTGGTCCTACTGCAACCCACTTTTTGCAGCTGGTCACCTAATGCATGCAATGGCATTAGAGGGCAAACTGAGATAAAAACTACAAGAAACATTTATAGAGCCCCTAGATTGTACCCAGCTGACCCAGACTCTGACAGGCAGGAGCCTGGAGCCAAGCACCTCTGGATATTTACTCTCCCCTTCAAGTACAGAGGGATCCCCACAGGTACAAAAGAGATCCACTGTCTGCCCCAAAGTGGGCAAGGGTTGGGTCTAGAAGCTTTAGCTTACTCCTCATTCCCTCTCGGGTCCTGGCTTCAAGAGGGAAGGTGCAATCGTTCTGGGCACCGTCAGCAAGAAGCTCTTCAGACATATTTATAGCAAATGCTGCATCAGGGGATGGAGCCTAAAAGTGCCTCAGAGCATCAAATAACTCTATAGGCCCTGAGACGGAGCCTAGAGAAAGAATACTGATTGCAGCAGGAGAGACTGGGGTTTGATGTTGGAGGCACTTCCCCAGAGTAATATTTAGAGCTGACCATGGGGATTCCCTGGAAAAGTTGCTTCCACGGAATTTTCTCAGGATTGGGCATCATTTTGGGTCTAGTAGATACAAAATCTTGAATATGGTAGACCACTGGTTCTGTCCTGGTAAAACCCAGACTTCGAAACACCAGGGCCACTAAGCAGGGTTGTCCACATGATGCCATTCCGAAGAGGTTGATAGCCATTTCTATATCAAGCAGGGCAACCTAGTCAGGATGGTCAGCAGAGGCCCTGCCCAGCATCATGACTCCTGACAGGGCCTCGGGGACTCTGCATAGATCTGCACAGCTGGGCTGGGACAGAGGCTCCAGAAAGGTAGGCATGCTAGGGGCCTCTCTTAGGTAACCTGTCCCTCGATTCCTAAAGGACCCTAAGCGGGGAGGTAGAGTATGCGTGGCCTGCCAACCACCTCCCTGGGAGGGCCTTTGACAGGGACTTCTGGAGTCCTAAAGACTGGGATCCCTCACTCAGTCCTGATGCATACCTTCTCGGCATAGCAGAGAGCAGGCACGTGCTCCAGATCCCACAGTGTGGGTGAAAATTAACAAACAGGGGGATGTGGGCTGCCCCTGAGTCTCAAATTCCTTCCCATAAACTCGGAGAACTGATATCTATGTTTTAAAGAAGTGGCCGTGGCTTTAGGGGTGTAGGTTCAGGCAGAGGGAGGAGGGAAGCCGGGCACACTTGCTTCTCCTGTGAAAACTGAAGCGCCCCAAGGCCCAGAGGAGCTAGTCCATTAGCTGTGGTCAGCAGGGGAGGCAAGGAGGGAGGGGGAGGGGGTGTTACTCTCTCCCTCCAGGTCTTATTGCCTAAGCAAAACTTCAGTTCCCACTATTACAACCCCCAAAAAAACAAAACGAAAAGAATGAATACCCTCTTACCCCTCCTCAAGCCTGCATTTCTTCTGCTGGGTTGCCGCTATGTAAGTTGGGGTGGCAGGAACAGACCACAGAGGGACGGGAGGCAGTGGCCTCCCCAGGCACTTTCCAGGTTAAAGCCGTCCAAGAGGAACCTGGAATGGAGTACTCAGAATGGACACTCCTCCACCTCAGCCCTTTCTGAGATGGGACCAGTGGACAGACAGCAGCAGAGAAGGAAAAACAGTCTCCAGAGAGCTTCAGTGAACAGGGAGGTGGAGGGGAGGGGTTCCAAGCCCCCTCTACCCCGAGAAAGTGGGTTCGAAGAAGGGCTGATAAAGGGGTTTTTCCGGCTGATGCTGAGTTGAAGTTGGAGACTTACCCTGGTCATTAAGGTCTCAGTTCTGTCTCCATGAAGGGGTCTGCTCCCACCCGCCCCAGGCCCAGGCGCAGTCACTGTCTTAAGAACAGGGAAGGGTCCAGTATGGAAGGACCAATGAGAGGTTGGTCCGCTTAGGAGGGTGTGGGAAGCTAACTGGGATTACACCCTCGCTTTCCCCCCTCCCCCAGCCAGAACTTGGGCTTGTCCGCCTTGACGTGCCCGCCAGAGGGGACGAGAAGGGGTACTGACCCGAGAAGCAGTCCTGCGACTTTGTGCTCTCTGCTGCCCAGACTGAGCTGGGATGCTGCCCGGCTTGCCTGGGCTCCCCCTGAGACCAGGATGGAGGTAAGAGCAGTCTGGGGCTTTGGAGGGGTCACAAGTGTCTCTCAAAGGAACCCCACAGGGGTGGGGACAGAGTGCAGCCTGGGGTTCTCTCCCGGGGGCTCTGGAGCTGGGATGTGGCTCCTGGAAGGGGGAAAGGCTTCGCTGGGTCTAGATCCAGGCTGCGCCCTCTCCGACAGCGCCTCCTGCCGGCAGGAGATAGCACGTCCGGCGGGTGCCGCCACCTGGAGGGCGGGTGCGGACACCGGGCCATCGAATCTAGGGGGCGCTACAGCGGGTAGGGAGGCAGCCGCCTCACCTCGCCTTGACCTTCCCTTTGGCGGATCTGAGACTTGCGGCGCACTCACTGATACAGGAGGCGTCCCTGCTGGGTTGTCTCCCTAAGAATCTGAGAAGCCACAGGGACGGGACCTGGAAGGGGTGGATGGACGTGGCTTCCCCGGAACTCAGAGGGGCATCTTGAGGCTTGGGCCAGCGA